CTGATGGAAGTGGCGAAGAACAAGGCTCCAGGAATTGATGGGATACCCACTGATATGTTTCAACAAATGCATGCCCCACTGGAGGTACTCACTTAGCTATGCCAAGAAATTTGGAAGACAGCTACCTGGACACTTGACTGGAAGAGATCCATAATTGCACACATTCCAAAGAAAGGTGATCCCACAGAATGTGGAAATTATCGAACAATATCATTAATATTGCACAGAAATAAAATCTTACTGAACATAATTAAAAAATGGTTGGAGCAATACATTGACAGAGAATTTCCAGAAATGCAAGCTGGATTCAGAAGAGGATGTGGAATGAGGGACATCATTTCTGATATCAGATGGATCTTGGCTGAAAGCAAAGAATACCAGAAAGATTTTTACTTGTATTTTATTGAGTATGCAAAAGCATTTGATTGTGTGGATCATAACAAAGTATGGATAACACTGAGAAGAATGGGAATTCCAGAACACTTAATTGTACTCATGAGGAACCTGTACAAAGACCAGGAGGCTGCCGTTCGATCAGAACAAGGGGACACTGCATGGTTTAAAATCAAGAAGGGAGTGTGTCAGGTTGTATCCTTTCCCCATACTTATTCAAATTGTATGCTGAGCACATAATCCAAGAAACTGGACTATATGAAGAAGAATATGGCATCAAGATTGGAAGAAGACTCATTAACAACCTGCTATATGCAGATGACACAACTTTACTTGTTGAAAGTGAGGATGACTTGAAGTATTTACTAATGAAGATTGAAGACTAGAGTCTGCAGTATGGATTACATGTCAATATAAAGAAAACAAAAATCCCCACAACTGGACCAATAAGAGGCATCACGATAAATGGAGAAAAGATTGAAATTGTCAAAGACTTTGTATTGCTTGGTTTTACAATTAACACCAATGGAAGCAGCAGTCAAGATGTCAGATGACATATAGCATTGGGCAAAACTGTTGCAAAAGACCTCTTTCAAGTGCTGAAGAGCAAAGATATCTCCTTGAAGACTAAGGTGTACCTGACACAAACCATGGTATTTTCAATCGCCTTATATACATGTGACAGTGAATAAGGAAGACCAGAGAGTCAATGCTTTTGAGTTGTGTTGGTGAAAAATGCTGAAAATACCATGGACTGCTAAAACAACTAACAAATCTGTCCTGGAAGAAGTATAGCCAGAATGCTCCTTGGAAGCGAGAATGCCCAGACTTCACCTCACTTACTTTGGTCGTGTTGTCAGAAGAGACCATTCCCTAGAGAAGGATATCATGCTTGGTAAGGTTATGGGTCAATGAAAAAGGGGAAGGCCTTCAATGTGTTGGATTGACACAGTGGCTGCAATGAGGGGCTCAGGTATAGCAAGGATCATGGGGCTGGCACAGGACTGGACAGTGTTTCTTTCTGTTGTACACAGGGTAGCTATGAGTAGGAGACAACTCGACAACACCTAACAAAAACAAGATGGGAGGGAGAGTACGTAGGAGGAGGAGGAGCTGATGTTAGAGATGACGGAATGGCACGGCAGGGTGGAGAAGCTGGATATTTGGGACATCTTTGAGCCCCACCTCATAGGGACTAGCCTTGTGCTGATCCTCCTAAAATAAATTTTTCAAGCAGGAACTAAGCACTATTTTGTTGTTGGGTGCCAACGAGTTGATTTTTGACTCATAGCAAGCCTGTGTGGCAGAGGAGAACTGCCCCATAGGGCTTCCTGGGCTGCAGTCTTTATGGGAGCAGATCACAAGCTCTTTCTCCCATGCAGCCACTGGGTGGGTTTGACCCACCAACCTTTGAGTTAGCAAGTGACCTCTTAGCCATTGTACCACCAGGGCTCCCGAGTAGTGAGTAGTGACTCACTTCTCATCACACACATTTCTCATATTCAATGACACATTTAGATTATTGTATGAGTGGTTGCATTATGCTTTTTATAATGACTTTATTGCAATATAACTCACACACTTTACAATTCACCCATTAAAGTGTACCAAACCAAACCAAACCAAATCCACTGCCATGGAGTCAGATCTGACTCATAGTGACCCCTCCTTGGGTTTCTGAGGCAGTATCACTATGGAAGAAGATTGCCCAACTTTCCTTCCGAGAAGTGGCTGGTGGGTTTGAACCGCCAACCTTCTGGTTAGCAGTCAAATGTCTTAGGCACTATCCCACCAGAGCTCCCATTAAAGTGTGCTCCCATGATTTTTATGATATTTATGGCATTTTGCAACCATCACCATCAGAATTAGAACATTTTCATCACCTCAAAAAGAAATCCCATACCTTTGGATTCATCTCCCTACTGCTCCTGGCCCCCAGCCCTAGGCAGCCACTCATCTCCTTTCTGTCCAAGGACCTGCTGGGTCAGGATGCTTCATATCAATGGAGTCATACAGCATGTCTTTGTGCCTGGCTCCTTTATTTAGCGTGTTGACAGCTTCACCCACGTTGCAGTGTTTATCAGTAGTTCATTCCTTTTTATGGCTGAAGAATAGTCTATGACATGACTCTACCACATTTTGTTTATCCATTCATAAGGTGAAGGACATTTGGGTTTCCACTTTTTGGCTGTTATGAATAACTATGGGGATTCACATATGAGTTTTTGTGGGGACATGCGTTAGTTTCTCTTGGGTATATACCTAGAGTAGAATTGCTGGGTCCCAGGGTAGCTCTGTTTAGTCTTTTGAGTAATTCCCAGGCTCTTTTCTAAAGCACCTGCTCCATCTTCTGTAGCCACTGGCACTGTGTGAAGGTTCCAGCTTCTCCATATCTTCGCCAACACTTGTTATTATCTGTCTTTTTGATTATCGCTATTCTAGTGGGTGTGAAGAGTCCCTAGGCGGCACAAATGGAAAGGTTGGAGTTTCAGGTCTAATCAGAGGCTCTTGGAAGAAGATGTGGTGGTCTACTTTCAAAAAACCAGCCGTTGAAAAACCCGTGGTGCTCACATACATGGAGTCACCGGGGGTTGGACTCAACCCAATGCAAGCTGGAAATACGAAATAATGTCGAATAGGCAAGTGCAAGTTGCGGTTGCTAGTGCCGTGAGTCTATGTTAACCGTGACCCTGTGTGCAGCAGAACGAAACTCTGCCCAGTCCTGCGTCATCACCCCAATCCTTGCTGTGTTTGAGCTCATTGTTGAATGGATATTTACTGCTGTTTCTTTTCATTTTTGACTTGTGCGCCATCAGCAAATGAAGGTCCCAAAGTTTTACTCCCTTCATGTCATTAAAGCTGACTCTACTGTGAGGAGGCAGCCCTTCCCGAGTCATAGTTTGAGTGCCTTCCGACCTGAGGTCTCGTCTCCTGCCACTACATGAGACAGTGCTCCCATGCGTAAGGTATTAACTGGCCACCTGTCTCAGAGCTACATCACCAGGCCGTCCTTCTTAGTCTGGGGGTCCACTGACACGGACACTTGTCCACCATGGGTGACTCTGCTGGTATTTGAAATGCTGATGAAAGTTTCTGGCATCGTAATAACACAGGCCACAACGGTACAACAAACGGATGGAAGAGTGGTGGAGGCAAACGCATGGAGGCAGACTGGGAATGGGGAGCCATTACTTAGTGGGTGCTGAGTCCTTGTGGGATGAAAACGTTTTGGAAATAGGTCCTGGTGATGGTTGTACAACATGGTGTAATTAATATCACTGAATTGTACACTTAAAAATGGTTAAAAAGGAAAAATTCTATAGGTATTTTACCCAAATATTTTTTTTAAAAAAAGCATACATTTAAAAAATCATACATTTATCATATAGAATCGCTCAAACATTCAAAATGAATAGGATTCCAGGGCCAAACACTGAAAGGACCAGGATGTGGTCTCTGAAATGTGTGCCCCTTGTGCCGAGGCCCCCTGCTGGCTTCAAGTAAAGGGCCAGGGGCTCAGGTTCCAAACAGGAGCCTAAATGCAGGGTCTGCACAGAGGCCACAGCCCCAAGCCCCTCCCCATCACTACCTCATCCTCCGCTGTTCTTCCCAGCCTGACTGTCCCCTGGGGCCACTTTGAGGACACTTGGGGAGGGGGAGCTGGGCTTCCAGTGAACGCTTGGACTTGTGGGTCTTGGCCAGCAGGGCTTGGGGATCCCTGCCGCCGCCTGGGGAGGTTTTGACAGCCTGCTACAGGCTCAGTCAGGGAGCAGGAGGCACGCTTCCTTACTGGAAGGTGCTGGAAGGCTTCCAGGAAGAGCCACCCCATGCAGGTGGGCATGCGAGAGTGCAGAGCTTGGAGCTAGCCCAGTGACGGCCATGTCAGGGAGGGGGTGACTGGGAGGGAGAGGTCGGAGGAAGGAGGGTCCCTGTGCAGGGCCCCCATTAGTAGGAGAGGGAGGGATGAAAGCAGGGAAGCGGGAGGAGCCCACAAAGAAATCAGGACATCGGCCAGCAGGTCAGCGTTATGTCCAGTCTCTGTTTTTCACTGCAGTATAGTTTGTCAACCTTCCTGCCTTCCTTTCTTTTCACAGCCTTCTCATTGCAGGGACAGGTGGGGATAAAGCTCACCACACTGCGGAAGATTGTCGGCATTCCTCACAAATGACTTTTTCTAATAAAGGGTTCCTCACACGTAGATGTCTGTTACTTCACCCTTCCCTCTCTTGCAGACAGTGCCCTTGACAGCTGGGGCATCAGGCACTGCCTTACCTTTCCGGGGAGGGGGATGAAAAAGATGGTAACTGGCAAGAAATGTCATATTGCTGAAAGTCCTGCTTGTTATTTGCTGTCTGCCTTATTAAAGCGTGTTAGCCTTGAAAATGGAGTTTGCAATGCAGTGTTTTGGGAAAGATGTGGCCAAAGGTTCATCTTTTCCCACCAACCACCTTTGGCTGTTTGGGTCAGGCTGCTCGCTTGGAGAGGTGGAGCGGGGTCTGAGAAGGACAGTCCCCTGGACGTGTGCAGGGTGACCACTTGAGACCAGCTGCGCGTTCTGATTGTCCTTCGTCCACTGTCCGCAGGCCTCCTCCGTGCTCACCTTGCTGCTGCTGCTGGAGAGAGGCATGTTCTCGTCACCTGCACCGCCCTCAGGTCTGCTAGAGGCGGTCTTCCAGTACATCGATCAGCACCAGGATGAGTTTGTACAGGTAGGAAGAGCCAGGCAGGGTGGCATGTCTCCTCCCCGTGTCTGGGCAAGGTGACGATTCGCTGGGAAGTGTGCATGTTTATATGTGCCAGAGGGTGGTGTGTTGGTTACCTAGTACCACTCTAGGAGCTCTGGTGGCGTAGTGCCTAAGGCACTTGACTGCTAACCAGAAGGCTGGTGGTTCAAACCCACCAGCCACTCCTTGGAAGGAAGGTTGGGCAATCTATTTCCGTAGAGGGTTCCCAAGGAGGGTTGTGAAGAGTTGGGGCCAACTCGATGGCACATACCAACAACAATACTGCTCTGACAGGAATATACCATAAATGGGGTGGCTTTAACAAACACGAGTTTATTCTTGTAATTTGGAGGTTTTAAGTCTGAGTTCCAAGTACCAGGCTCTAGGGGCTGGGTGAAAGCACCTCAGCCTTGGGCTTATGCTCTGCCTCCTGCTCCCGGGCCACTGAAGTGCTTTTCTTCACTCAGCTGTTGCTACTGAGGTTGACAAACCCATGGTCGACAAGTAACAAGGCACAGTCCCGATATTACCAAACCACATGGCAGGCCATTAATTCAAGTCCATTGAAAGTCTCAAGGTTGGCAGAGCATGGCAGACTGCTGAGCAATGACAAGGCTACATGCAGGGTTCAAGTGTGTCATAAGCTGGAGACCATGCCCAAAGCTGCTTATTATATATGTGAAGCTACTCAGCTGCTTGTGATAGATCCCACCATGGAGTTGACTGCCAGTCTCATCATGGGGAATAACTTCCACCAGCTGCCTAGCCACTCAATCAGGCCCAGCCAAGTTGACACACAACCTCAACTACCATAGGTGGCAAATTAATCCAACAAAAATTCAGGTGCCTCCCACGCTGGTGAAATTACTATGGGTCCAGTGGTGTGGGGCATGTCAAGATATTCCTACTAAAGTGAAGGATAAGTCATTGCATCTGGGCCCTCCCACAACTAAAAAGGAGGCACAATACCTCATGGCCTCTTTGGATTTTGGAGGCAACATATCCCTCATTGAGTGTGCTACTCTGGCCTATGTATCAAGTGACTAAAAAAGCTGCTAGTATTTAGTGGGGGCCCAGAAACAAGAGGCTCTGCAACAGGTTCGGGGTGCCGTGCAAGCCGCTCTGCCACTTGGGCCATGTGATCCAGTTGATCCCATGGTATTTAAGGTATAGGTGGCAGAGAGTGGTACTTTCTGGTGTCCTTAGCAGGCCCCTATAGGTGAATCACAGTGCAGACCCTTGGAAATTTGGAACAAAGCCCTGCCATCCTCTGCAGATAATTAATCTCCTTTTGAGAAATGGCTTTTGGCTTGTTACTGGGCCTGGGCATTAGTAGACACTGAACACCTAACCACAGGCCACCAAGTCACCATTCAACCTGAGCTTCCCATCATGCACTGGGTGTTGTCTGACCTACAGAGTCATAAAGTTGGACATGCCCAGCAGCCCTCCATCATTAAATGGAAGCGGTATATAAGAGATTAGGCTGTATTATTGCCTGCTGATCTTGGATTTGTCAGCCCCTCTAGCTACATGAGTCAGGAGAAGCCTCCAGCTTGATATCTGACCTACAGACCTAGAACTTGCAGCCTGTACAGTTGTGTGGGCCATTTCCTTGAGATAAATCTCTCTCTCTCTCTCTCTCATTATATGTTTATAAGCTTCCCTGGTTTTGTTTCTCTAGAAAACCCAAACTAAGACACACGGTGTCCCCCCACACCATCCTCACCTCTGTGACACTGCTATGGTCCCTGGCCTGCACTCTGAACACTCAGTTGACTTTGCATCCAGAGCACCTCATACTGGTTCTCATCACAGGGGTTCAATAAATGCTTATGGGATCAATCAGTCTATGTCAGCAATAGTACAAATCAAACATTTGCGTTTCCTACTAAAGATTCAGAGCTTTCTGTGCTGTCCGTAGTTCCTATGCAGGACCTTCACTTACTGCTTGACCATCTGGAAATACTAATGGGATAAAAACACCTCAGATTTTCAAAGCCTGATTGGCACATCCAGTGAAGACTGGAATGAGCAGGGGGAAGAGAAACAGTGAGCTGATTCTGGCTTTTTGGCCAAAACGTCTTTTTTCCCAACCTCCTCAAATGTCCTTAATCCATTGCATTTAGGGATAATCTCGGAAGGAAGGTTGGGCAATCTACTTCCGTACTGATACCGCCTCAGAAACCCAAGGAAGGGTTGCTATGAGTCAGATTCGACTCCACAGCAGTGCGTTTGGTTTGGTTTGCAAGCTACATCTGTTCTGTCGATTCTGGCTTTAGAAAATCTGCAGTATCAATAAAATTGACTATTTCTTCAGGAGCTCTGGTAGCATAGTGGCTAAGACACTTGCCTGCTAACCAGACGGCTGGCGGTTCAAACCCACCAGCCACTCCTCGGAAGGAAGGTTGGGCAATCCTACTTCCGTAGTGATACTGCCTCGGAAACCCAAGGAGGGGTCGCTATGAGTCGGGTTTGACTCGACGGCACATAACAACAACAACAACAACATTTCTTCAGGTTAGATGAATACCTATAAAAGATAAAGCTACTACCACCAGGATAGATCAAACTGAAAGAGATGAGGAGGTGGAATCCAAGGTCAGCCTTCCATAAAAGCCATTGTCCCAGGCCCAGCTTGGATACAGGTTTTGAAAGGTGGACAGCTAGTACCAGCAACTCGGTGTGCCCAGCAGTTACTAGGGCCTGCTGGGCACCAGGACCTTTGCTGTGTCTTATCTGCACATAGTTGCACTCGGCCCTTGCCCAGCTCTTGGGTTAGTGAACATGCCTCTCATTATGCAGATAGGGACGCGGAATCATCTGCTCAAATGCACACAACGGTGAGTAGGCAGAGCCAGGATTCAGGGTGACTCTATCCACCCGCCCAGCTCTGAGTTAAGCAAGCCCTGGGTTGCATCACTAACCGTTCCTTGGGGTGGGGGCCAACCGCAGAGGCTACATACCAGGAGGCACTGGGAGACCTGCAGCCTGGCTGAGACACTGAGGGGTGAATCAGA